GCTCAGGAAGAAGAATTAAGAAGATGATCATACATGCATGCAAATTCTCTTGAATTTAGAGCTTGATTTTGAGGAAGTCACACATGCATGCATTGATCATGGTTTGTTTTTGGAAGTTCATCACATTTCACATGTTTTTACCTCATTTGATTATGTTTTGGAAGGTTAAACTCATATCATTACATGCGAGTCATATTTTCAATTTCAAGTTTGATTTCGGGTAATTGGCAAGCTTTTGGGCCTTGATTTCATGAAATGAGTTTTAATTCTCTATGTTTTCCAAGTTTAGACATGTTTTCTCAAGTTTTGGGGCCCAAAGGTTGAGTTTGAAGGCATCAAATTTGAGTTTTGCAACTTGGAGGTGAATCTGGAAATTCTAGAATTCGATCTCTTTGCTTGGGTGACAAAACCTGCGCTCGAGCAACCGGTCTGTGATCTTGCACTTCCGCTCGAACGACTGGGAGTTCGCTCGAACGTAAAATGCAAGCTCCCAGAAGTTCACATGTTTTGCAGACCGCTCGAGCGACAGAAGTTTCGCTCGAGCGACAAAAGTTTCGCTTGAGCGAGGACCTGAGTCTCACGCTTGAGCGAGCGTCGAGCGGAAAAACCAAGCAACCAGTATGTTTGCAAAGTTTACAGACTGCTTGGGCGACCACTCACATTTTTGCATGTCCACTCGACCGAAGGAAGTTGCGCTTGAGCGGGGCCCCTGTTTTCAGCAAGTTTTGTTAAGAGTTCCAAAGTGCATTTTGACATCCTCATTGCATCTTAGATATTCCTAGGCCATAGTTAAGACCTAATAATGAGGATAAGACTTAGAAACACATTAAGAATGAAATGAAAGGAGTTATGTGATATCTGAGTATGTGTTTCAAGATGTGTATCTGTTATGTTTGTGTATGTCACGCGCCGTAAGCTGTTTGATTTTGTTCGCTCTGTTTGTCCGTATTTGGAGCCATTAGTGAGTAATAATTTAGTAAAACTATATTTAACTTTAATTATTTTTTGAATGATATGAATTAAGATATGTTTTATGCAATGTTATATTCTGTACAATGAATGATTGTCCAAGTTTTTGAAATGTATTCGTGACATCCTTAGCACAAGGCCTTTGCCTGGGGGTAATAATACCATGGTCTCATGGCCCTTGCCCGGGGGTATTAATACCATGGTCTTATGCCCCTTGCCTGGGGGTAATCATACCATGGTCTTATGGCCCTTGCCTGTGGGTAATAATACCGTGGTCTCAAGGCCCTTTCCTAGGAGTAATAATACCGTAGCTCAAGTATATTACAAGTTCCCGGTACTGGAGGTTCCTTATGGAACTAAAAAGCATGATGACACTAATGGATGTACTATGTATTATGAAGCATGAACTCTAATTTTTGTATGTAGTTTGAACAAGAATATGAATATAAATCTGTTTCTTATATGAACTTTGATTTTCTGAATCTATTATGGACATCATTCATTTAAACCCTTTACTCAATTATTATTCACAGGCTTTCACTCACTATTTATATTATGTATGCAGGTGAGCAGGCGCGTGACTAGGCCTAGGTTGTTGTCTGGAATGTTTTGGGTCAGCCAACCACTGTGCTTCTTGGGGAGGTTCTTTTTGAGAAGTCAAGTTTTGTGAACCGTTGAAGATGTTTGTTTGTTTGTTTTTGCTTATCTGTATGCTGGGCTAAGTCCCTCATGAAATTATATGTACGATGATACAAGTCTTATAGAAGTTTGACATTATATAAGCTTAAAATTTCTTTTTCGTCTCATGTATGTCTACACAGCTCTATGGACCTTGTATTCTGTATAATTGCTTCCTCAGTCCTTTACATTTTGTTAGTCTGTTAAAAGGCCTTTGGTAATCCCAAGATTACTGGCCGGTTACGTCGCTAAACCTATAGGGGCGGGTTTAGGTCATGATAGAGTGGTATCAGAGCACGTGTTCTACCGCACACATGAGTCCATATGAGCTATCGGATGTCCTAGAAAAGAATTAGGGACATTCCATCTGCATGTGTGAGTGTGTATTAATTTCTATACATGAAAACACTGCATTTAGACATGAACATATGAAATTGAAACGATTGAACTGGGATTGAATGTTCCAAACACTGTGAAAAGAACTATTTGCCTATGTTTATTGTTCTCCTATTTTCCTATAACAATGGAAAATACAAGAAATAATGATACAATGGGGTCTTCTGAGGCTCGAATGAGCCGAATGGAACAAATGCTCGTAGCCTTAACTGAAGCAATGACATAACAACAAAGACAACAATTGTTGCCTCCTCCATCCCTACCGGTCCAAGTTGAACCGGATAACAACGACATTATAAACTTAACTCAGAAATTTGTGAAGATGAAACCACCGACTTTCTTGGGTGGTATTGAACCCTTAAAGGCAAAGACCTGGTTGCTCGAGATAGAGAAATTATTTGAGGTATTTCCTTGTTCTGATACTCAGAAAGTTCTATTAGACACCTACACCTTAAAAGATGAAGCCTGAAAATGGTGGTTGTTGATTTGAACCAATAATGGGAACATGACATGGGCGCAATTCAATGACATCTTTTATGACAAGTACTTTCCTCAGTATTTTCGAGATCGGAAAGTTTCTGAATTCCAAGAATTGAAGCAAGGTAGGATGTCAGTAGTCGAGTATGAGGCTAAGTTTACTGAGTTGGCCATATTTGCTCTTCATATGGTCAACATAGATTATAAGAAGGCCCGAAAATTTGAAGGGGGCTTAAACCTGGACGTGTATAATCGAGTAGGCATATTGAAATTGCCTACTTATGTGAAAGTACTTGATAGGGCATTGATGGCAGAGGCCATACTAGCAGCAAAGAAACAGATTAATGCTCCAATAACTGAATGGAGAGGAAAAAGATCTGGATCCAATTTTCGGAAGGGCCACTCATCCTTTACAAGCAAAGGGCAAAATACTGGATTTTCAAGTAGTTCAAGCCAAAGCAGTGGGTCTATGCCAGTTTGTCCAGAATGCGGAAGGAAGCATAAAGGCATGTGTCACCATGCATCTGGCACTTGTTTTCAATGTGGCAAGATAGGCCACATGATTAGAGATTGTCCAATAAGATTCAACACTACTACCCATCCTGTGACAAGTTCGGCTGGATCTGCTCCTGCACCAAGAATGAATGTGAGAGCCAATACTGGGGGAGAAACTTTGAGACAAGGCCGAGTTTTTGCATTAGTACTTGGTGATGTACAAAATACCAAATCAGTGGTGTTAGGTATAATCTCTATCTGTGCTCAGAATGCCTATGTGTTGATCGATTCTAGCTCCACACATTCATTTGTATCGCATGTTTTTTCTCAGAAATTAACTAGACCGTTAGAACATATGAACAGTTTACTATCCGTGTTTACACCATCTGGAGGTTCTATGTTATGTGCTTATATATATTTGGCATGTGATATAATGATTGGTTATATAAATTCCGGTTTTGATCCGACTCTTGTGAGATTTCGGACTCGGGTTTAATTCTTTCATATTGTTATTTACCTCTTTTTTCTCTTATATCTCTTTGAAATTGGCCTTTGAGTTGTTGTGGTTGTGTTTGGGCAGGTTGTTCGCTTGTTTTTCAAACCTTGTGTTGCCTAGAATTTTGGTCCTCCGCTTGAGCGGCATTTCTCGCGCTCGAGCGGGCTTTGCAAATTTTACTCCTCCGCTCAAGAAGCACTTTGCTCGCTCGAGCGGGCTTTGCAGACCTTAGTACTTTGCAAGTCTGAAAAACTAGTGGGAGAGTATTTTCTACGCTCGAGTGGGTGGGCGCTCGAGCGGCCTTTCTTGCGTTTGAGCGTTGGTCTGTTGTTTGCAAAACTACTAGATTTGTGTTTTCTACGCTCAAGTGTCACCTTGTGCGCTTGAGGGGTGTGCGTCTTGTTGTTTCTGTCTTGGCGCTTGAATAGCCTTTCTTGCGCTTGTGCGGATCGACATTTTTGTGTCTGACGCTTAAGCGTCAACTCTTCCGCTCGAGCGGATTATGCATATATCAGATTGCAAAAATGACTTTTTACATCACTTTTTTAGATATTTTCATCCTAAAACCTAAAGTTGAGACCCTCTCTCTCTAAAACACACACACACACACTCTCTCTCTCTCTCTCTCTCTCTCGCTCTCTCTCTTTCTCCGCATTTTCACCTAGTTCTAGTGGTTTCTCCATTGATTCACCTTTGTTAAAAGGTAGAGCATCTCAAGATCTACTCTTTGATCCGAATAAAGTTGGGTTTGGACATCTTTGGAGTTCCATCCTTGCTTGACTCATCTTCTCTCTTTGAGGTAGGGACTTTCCACACTTTGTTATGGTTTTTAACTTAGTTATTTATGGTTGTGTAACAATGATGGGTTTTGGGAGTATTATGAACAAACCTAGGGTTTGGGATATAAAATCAAAAGAAGGGTTTTGAGTAAATGTGAAATAGATGGTCATGGGGTTAAATGTAAGGTTGTATTGTGGCCAAATGCTTGATTTGGGCCACTTGGGTTGCTATTTAAAAAGGGCAGTTTTGCCCTAATTGGTTCAAATATTTATTTTGCATAAATAAATGAAATTGGTGTCGCAAATGTGAAATTGGATGGATATTGGTAGAAATGGTGGAATTGGATATGCATTATCTCAAACCTATGGAAATTTGAATTTATTATCTGTCTAGAGATTGAATATCTATTTAGAAATATCTGTGTTGGACTATCGGTGGAGGATAGTCATGATTGTTGTAGAAATTACATGAGAATTAGGTGAATTGAAACTAACCTCTTGTTGATTTTCATTGAATATGATTATGTTTAAATACATTGTATATGTATGATTGATTGGGAGGAGAAAGGGGATGTACTCCATTGTTTGGGAGGAGATAAGGGATGGACTCCATTGAAATTAAGTTGGCCGGAGTGTCCAGGGTGAAAGTCCTAAAATCTTGTATATACATGGGTGCCGGTTCCAGCGGACGAAATTTTCGTAAATTGGTAAAGTGAAGTGTGTATGTGTTGGTTGCACTGATTAGAGAACCATTGAGTTGTAGTCTCGGTTGGGTTATTGAAATATAAATGAAATTGGCTCATGAATTGAGATGATATAAATCGACTACAAATAAATTGAAGGAAAAACGGATTGAAACATAATTTTGGGTACCTTATGGTCATATAAATGAGGATGTTTTGTTTCAAGCATTACATGTGCACATCGTACTTATACCTTTGTTAAATCTCATATATTGTGTTAGATTGTTTCTACTGAGCTTTGGCTCACCCTATTTGGGAAACCACTTTCAGGTACCAGTGACATGCTTCCTCCAAGGACGTAGCTTGGGAGAACTTAGGAGCTGAAGGCTTTATTTTGTTGTTTTGTGCTTAATGTTTATTCAAGCCAAGGGCTTTTTGTGTATAGAGCTTATGACTTTCTTTTGTTGTAACCAAGCGATGTCTTGGAAAGATGTAAGCCCGTAGGGCATTTATTTTGTTGATCATCAACTGGTATTACATGCTATAGATTCAGGATGTATATTTATGAATGTATATCGTATGTGTTATCTTTTGTAATATGAACTCGGATGAATGAAAGTATTTTATTTATGTTATTCTTCTATTTATGAGTTGGATTTATTATTTTTTTGGGGGGCGTTACATTTTCTTTTTCATCAAACCCATTTTTGCATTCATATTTCATGCATTAAAATTCGGCTCATTTGTATCTGTGGGTTTAATCAATTTTTATGTGATTTTATGTACTACCCCATATCTTGAAATGATTCACATGTCATGTATTAGTAGCCAAGTATTTTAGTTGCATTTTTGTATATGTATTGCATTAGAATCTTGAATCTAGGATCATACATATTTTGCTAACTTTGTTTTGTAACTTTCGGCGGGACGTCAATAACTACTATGTGAGTGTTTATGCTTTAGCATCCCACTTTTGTGTATTTTTCTTATTATGTCCAGCATCTTACCATGCAGCTCTTTGCTTAGTTGATATAACTCTATGATTGCCAGTGGATGAAGGTTGTGTTGCTTAATTTGGAATAATGTTGATTTCATGCTTGTGAACTCAATTCCCCTTGAGTTGCACATTTTCAAAAATCCTTTTTCAAAATACATGAGATCGTAACATTCCAAATTGAGCAAGAAATTTCTTTGGTTCGAAAAAATAGAGAACAAAACTTATCATTGATAAGTATGTTGATGAAAAACAGAGCACGAAAAATGAACTCTAAAAATCAAAATCAACTTCATTGTCAACTCTCTTTGAAATTGATCAAAAAACAAAAAATGAAAAATGAACTCCAAAAATCAAAATCAACTCTATCAAGCTAGCCTCTCTCTAAAATTGATCAATAATAGAGAATGAAAAATCAACTCCAAAAATTATAAACAACTTCAGTGAGCTAGCTTCTCTTTTAAATTGATCAAAATTGAAAACAAAAATTTAATGCAAAAATACACTCGAAAAACTAATATGAGATCAGAATCCTTACATAAAATTCAACACAAAAATTGAAATCCTTGTGGAATCTCCATAAAAAAACATACCTGATTTAACTCCACTAAAAAACCTACACGATCAACACCACTATAACACCTACACGATCATAGCAATCTCCATCGTCAAGCCCACTGCAACACTTGCAAAAATCCCTACGAAATCTCCACCATATGAAATCTTCTATAAAACAGCAATAGAATATTCAGTTTGTCAAAATCCAAACAAACTTATATTATAAAGAAGGGTAAATTAGGTATTTTATGACGTAAAATAAGGTTGAGGGACCTTAGGTATCAAAAAATATTATTGCGGATCTCTCATCCTGTCAAAAGTTAGTGTAGACACCCCATTTTTGACCGACCTTGAGACTCAGACGTCACTAGTTGAGCACTTGGTGATATTGCATAATGTGCTCGTTCAGAAGTTTCAGAGTCTCGGCTGCGAGCCTTGCCTCCGGACTTCCGGACTCTTTTGTGCTCTGCCTCGGTTTGCGAACCAGGCTCTGTTTTCTCTTCTCGAAGGGAGGGAGAGGTCTCGTAGATCATCTCTCAGTGGCCGTAGGCTACGTTTCGTGGTCGTAGGCCATTTTGCCCGTTTGGAGCCCGGTTCCCGGTTTTCGGAACCGTCAAGCCGTGTGCCTCGGTTCGGGACCGCTTAACCATCTCCGTTTGCTCTGATTTTCAGCATACTTCTTATTTACTCCATTTTGAGGGACACTGGGGTCTGAGAAACCTACTTCGTGGCCGAACGCCGCTTTCGGTGCTTGGCAGCCCATTTTCGGGACCCCGAACTGCGTGTTTTGGCCCCCGAGCATTCGTTTTGCATTGCTTTTCGTTCATTTTTGGCAGGTGCCTCTGTTTCATCACCAGGGAGGCCACTGGAGGGTGGGAGGCCAGCAATTATCTTGGCAACCGGTTATGTTCCATTTTCGCCCTCCGACACCCGTTTTTCGCACTTCCGAAAAGATTTGGCTCGAAGGAGGGGTCAAAAAAGGTTGAAAATATTAGTGCCGCTCCATGATATTGGGTCTCTCATGTTTACACTCACAAAAGGTTTGGTTGAAGAAAAGGCACATAGTGTTCAACTGGCCCGGAATG